CGCTCGAAGCCCGAGCGGTGTCGCAGCTGGGCTGATGTTTCGCACCAGTCCCGCGCGGAGGAAGGACATTCCCAGGAGGGGGAAAACACACACACAAACAGACACACACACAGACACAGAGAACCACACACACAGACACAGAGAGCTGCCGGGTCCCAGGGAGGGATGGGAAGTGCAGGGGGGAAGACGAGCATTTAGGACATAGATGTGACTGCTGTGGGGGATCATGGGATCTGTGCCCGTTGGTTGCTGTGCCCCTGGGCCGCTTCAGGAAGGGCATCGCAGTGAGACCGTGAGTGAGGGACCAAAGCATCGCAGACATGCCACGTGTGCCTCCAGCTCCGACTCAGTGTTTACATTGCGTATTCGGGGGGCTTCGCCTGTCCCGATAATTGGTGTCTTCTCTTCTGCCCGATGCGGACTCGCGCCGCGTATTTGGCGTGGATTCGACGCGCGTTCGACACGGATTCAACACGGATCCGACGAGTCCAGCATGGATTCGACACGGATTCGACGCGGACGTGGCCGCGACGGGACAGACAAACTCCCCCGAGGATGCAACATAGCATGCAACACAAGAGGGGGGAAGGAGGAGGGGGAGGAGGAGGAGGAGGAGGAGGAGGAGGAGGAGGAGGAGGAGGCGAAGAGGAGGAGGCGAAGGGAGGAGGAGAAGGAGGAGGAGGAGGAGGGAGAGAGGAGGAGGAGGAGGAGGAGGGGGGGGAAGGAGGAGGAGGAGGAGGAGGAGGAGGAGGACGAGGACGAGGAGAGGAGGGGGAGGGGGAGGAGGATGAGCCCCCCCGAGGTTGTAACACAACATCGTTTTGTCTGCGCCACGTCCGCCGTCCCTGGGTTTGCTCTCGATGCGTTGTCGTCGGCCTTTTCAGAATTTCGAGGGCGGAGTCAAGGATTAGTAGGATGAGGGGGAGGAGGGGGAGGAGGGGGAGTAGGACGAGGAGGAGGAGGAGGAGGAGGAGGAGGAGGAGGAGGAGGAGGAGGAGGAGTAGGACGAGGAGGGGGAGGACAAGGACGAGAACGAGGAAGAGCGGGTAATGAGTTTGAGGAGGAGGAGCCTGAATTAAGAGGGGGAGATTGGGAGAGAGAGAGAGAGAGAGAGAGAGAGAGAGAGCGAGACACACACGGACGGGGAATGGCACCTTTTGCAGTGAGTCTCCAGGCCATGTTGGGGCCATTTGGGATTGATTCTCGGAGCGTCTCGGACCTCTCTTGGGACTCTTGGGCCGTCTCAGCAGATCCTGGGGGCCCTGTTTGGCCGTCCTGTCTCATCCTCCTCCTCCCTTCTCTTCCCCACCCCCCACTCCTCTTATAGTCAGCTTGCTGAATGAATGAAGGACCATTTTGGCTTCAGGAGGAGCTCTGGTTTGCGGGCCGTTCGGTAGATTCAGGTCGGGTGACCAGGCTTCCTGGGGGCCCCTTGGGGCAGAAGCCTCCGATTTCTGCTCGTGGCTTTTGGGGCCGTCTTGGGGCCCTCTTGCGCCGTCTTGGGCGCCTCGTGTGGGGCCCTCTTGGCGACCTGTTGGGCTGTTTTTGGGGTGGTCTATTGGGCCTCTTGGGCCGTCCTGGAGCGTGGGGAAGCCGAACAAGCGAGAACACCAAAAGCCGGCAACAC